AAAAAAAAAAAAAAAAAAAAGGTTTTGGCTTTATATATACACTTTAAGGATAACAGGGAGAGGAAAGAGTTCATTAGGGCTAGTTAGGAATAATAATGGGTTGTATAGGAAAGAATGTAGGGGTCGGCGAGGGGAACCATGTAGCCCAGTGAGGGGCCAGGAATCTGGCAGTCCTGAAAGCCCTGGTTTATGAATCGACTTTAGGCTCATATTTTATTTAATTTTTTATATTACATCATTGACTGGTGACACAGTCAGTGGGAGAGGTATTTACTCTTCTTTTTGCAGGTACAGTAACTCTTTTATTTGCACATTGATTTCTGAGTCAATTGTGTAGGCTCGTTCACACCAGGTGCATTGAGCTGCATTGATCAATGCAGACACAACACAAGGGCACAATTGTTTTTTATACGCCCTGTTCACATCATAAATCTGTATTATTGAGCGATGGGAATGACACAACACGCTGAGGTGGATAGGGGTGAATAAAATGTAATTTTGTGACATTTCAATAACCTAAAAAAAGAAAAGAAAAAAACGCATTACCCTGCTCTTTGCAATGCACACCAGCAAGCATGGGTTATATAGTGGACTATATGTGCAGGTAGAAATGAACGCGCTCCAAAAGAACACATTAGAAATTTGTGGTGCTGTTAGGTGTACTGCAATAACCAAAGACAATCCCACAACTGAGAACCACCTCGCCCCCCCACAAAACCTTACTCAACAAAAGGATCTGATTTAAACCCCACACTGCAAGGGTTAAATGCTCATTTTTGAATATGGGGTAGAAAAATGAAGTGTAATATGTACCCTATTCCTCACTCCAGCAGGCTCCGCCACACTCCTCTTCTGCTCACATACAATAATGATGCATGATTACATCAGCCAGGGGAGCCTTAGAAAAGCGGCTGCAGGAGACCGGTTGTACTGAAAGGTAGCCTGCCTCTTTCAGTACAACCTGTAATTTCAGTAATAAGGTAGGTATAATCTTTATTCCACTAAATCTAAGCAAAAAGTGAGCATTCCACCTTTGCAGTACAGAGAAGTTCAGTTTTAAAGTGATTAATGTGAACTTTAACTTCTGGCATTAAAAATTAAATGTCTGGCACTAATACAATACAAATCAGATATAGCTGAACAGAAACAGCGGGTGAAACGAGGTTGTGGACTACAGATCCAGTATTTCCATGCAAAAACAGGGTTATGCAATCACAAAGCAGAGTAAACAGCCAGTGAGCCAACAGGAGGTTACAGTTTATTTTAGTTGGATGTGTCCCAGTAACAGTTAATATACTAAGAATTTATCCCAGGCACAGAAGGATTGTACAGCGCATTGCTATAAATGTTCACTATGACTATTTTCTCCTACCTCCTGACAAGGATTGACTTATTATTGTATTTTACGACATTCATTGTATTATTTCTATACTGGATCAATGGATCTAAGAAGAGCAAAGGAAAAATGCCTCCGGGCCCCAGACCTCTTCTACAAAAACACAAACATACAGACCTGAGTTGTGCCATGGTCCGAGTGGTCAGTAGGCCAATACAGGGGCAAAACAACCATGTAGAAATTAAGAACCTTTATTCGTGTCTACATTTATCCCCCATGTAATAGCAATAAAGTTGTGTGTGTAAAAAAAAAAAGAAAAAGTAATATAAAAATGAAAGATTAAAAAAAATAAAGAAGCATAACATTTATATTTTTTAAACTTTTTTTTTGGTCCCCGCCCCCGACATACACACGCATATATGCGTCATGTGCGCCTACATGCCGCACATGTTGCATATCGCCGCAAACGTCGGAGTGAGAGCAATTTTAGAGCCATTAAGGCCGGGTTCACACCTTGGCGTTTTACAGCGCTGATCGACCCGCTGTAAAACGCCCAGCAAATGAAATCCCATTATTTCTTATGAACATGGTTCTCACTTGGGCGTATTTCAGCGTGTCGGAACGTGCTGAAAAACGGCCTACGCCCAAAGAAGTACAGGGGCGTATTTCCGCGCGTATCCATTAGGATACAGCCGGATAGCCCTCGTAAACGCGTGTTTAACGCATGTTTTGAGGGCTGCAAATCGCGGTTAAGGGAGAACTAAGAGGTGAGTGCTTTTCACTCACCTCAAAGTTCTAGCCGACCTGCGACAATGAGACTGTCACGGGTCGGCTCAGCAGATCGGGAAGTGAGGGGAACACATACCGGCGTTCGCTCACATCTCGATTCTGTCACGGCTCTCTGCCGTGACAGGGGAGGGGCTGGATTCACCCCGCTCCGATCCGCCAGCGCTGACTGGCGGAACGGATGGGGGAGGGGCAGGTACAGCTGGCTCTGCCTCTAGATAGGCAGAGCCAGCTGTCACTCACGCAGCTGGGCAGATCCAGACATAATTGTCGGGATCCGCTTCAGCTGCGGTGTCTCAGTATACTGCGAGCTGCAGCTCCCTATATACTGAGCTTAGGGTGACGGGAGGACGCTAGTTTGTGTCCTCCCGTTACCCTAAGGAGAACTATGGGGAAAATCCCTAACCCCATAGTTCTCCTTTAATCACTGATAACACTAAACTGATGAACAGTAAAAGCGTTTTAAT